AGTCCCAGGTAAAGTTTATTTAGAGAACTACGTGGTTTATGGCAACACCAGAGGTATGGAAGGTCACAAAGGAGTTCTGGGGATACTGAGGAAAGAGGAGGGTGGTATCCTTGGGGCCTGGAGCTGGCAGAGGAGGCTCAATGCCTGCAGAAGCCCCCTTGGCTCTATCCCTGTGGACTGCACTCTAATCCAGACTTCAGTACACTGTCTGCCCTGTTCACACCCCAGAAGAGATTTGAGTCTGTCTCTTCCCTGCTCATGAACATTCCACAGCTGATTAATGCCCCCAGGAGAGACCAGCCCAGTCTGGTCTTTAAATCCTTTCTTCAATCTGGCCCCAACATACATTTATTCCTTGGGTCCTCTTTGGGACCCTCTCCTCTCCAGCTTTATGCTATAAGCTTGGTGCTCTGGTAGAGACAGAGAAAGCTGGGGCCAGTCCTCAGATTTAGAGGCCTCAGTCCTTTCCCATTCTCACCTTGCTACCACCAGTCCTGCCTCTGCCAAGACATCCAACTACCCACCCAGGGAACCTCACTCAGGACTCTGCTGTGCAAATAGTAGGCACTGGAGGCATGCTCATGGCCTCTATGTGAGTTCACCAGATGAAGCTGGGGGCACTCACCATAAGCCACAGGTGTCAGTTTGAGCACTGTGTGCAGCGGGCACTTGAGATACGGCAGCTCATCTGGAAAGGAGGAGAAACTGACCCTCAGAGACAGGGTTCTGGGGACGCGCCACCTCCCCAGGCTTCCAGGCTTCAGCACTGTTCCCTGCTCCCCTCTTCCCTGTGGTTGTCCTCTTCTTGCCTGGGCCCTGCTCCCCCTTACTCTGCAGGGGGCAGTGCTGAGAGCAGGGTCTCAGGGAGGAAGAGAACAGATGGGAAGCCTGGGGGAAAGGAAGGAAGGGGGGGTTGGGGAAAGTGGACAGACTATGGGTCCCCCAGAAGCAGAGCCTGGTCACCTCAGAGGTGGCCTACCCCCTCCTCCCTCACAGGGCAAACAGGAGACCAAGACAGGCCTCCCTCCTGCCCCCAGCCCCAGGCCTCCCACAGGCTTCCCCCTGCAAAGGCTCTCAACCTATCTCAGCAAATGCTTTCTGAGGCCCTACTGTGCACCAGAGCCTTGGCTGAGAGGTGCGTGTACCTGGGCGGCTCCCATAGCTTCTTCCCCATCCCAGGCCTGTGCCCTCTGACTCCTCACACACTTGTTGATAGAGAAGCGTTCACCAAATCACTTGTATCCAGTCATTGACTATTAGGCACAAAGTTATCCTGAATATTGACATGAAATTACTAGCGTGGCCTTGATTTCATTTACCAGACAGCCCCGATAGGAGAGGTGATCAGGCCCATTCCTTGGATGAGGACACTGAGGCTCTGAGAGGGAACACACTTGCCCTATGTCCCACTGCCAGCAGGTGGCAAAGCTGGGACTCAAACCCAGAAGGCCTTGAGGCCTAATGTGTGCTGTGCCCCCTGTAGTGTGCGGCCACTGCCTTTGAGGGGCTCACCGTGCCATGGGGGCGACACCTCCACTGCACCACTCTGCAGACACCCACCCTCCCGCCCACCCAGGAAACCCAAACAGCTCCCCAGCCCCTTCATTGGGCCAGAACCCCACCACTCGTGGCTTCCCTGCCCCTGAGGTTTACCCTAGACTTTGAAGGCCTGCCACTGCCTACCCAGCCTTCTGATACATCTGGTTTGGCAATCTCCTGGGCATCTACCCTGCTTCTTCTCCTTGCCTTTGTCTTTATCATCTCCAGGCCCTGGGTCCAGTGCTTTTGGTGCACTATCTCATTCCATCCTCATGGATACTCTGTAGGGGTTAATGATCCTCACTGTACATGTGACAAAACAGATTCTAAGAAGGGAAGTGATTTGCCTTAGGTTGCTGACCCAATGCAGTCACCACCTGAACAAGTGACCTTGGCTCTGCCTTTCTCTCTGTGGCCCTCAGAGTTCCCATCTCTCACAGCACAGGATTGGATCCAGCTCTGAGATTCTGGGTCTGAGTTTTTAGTCACATCATCAGTCTGGGACTCAATTTCCTCACCTGAGTAATAAAGGTGAGAGCATGTGCCCAGCCCTGCCTGATCCATCCCCCAGGACAGCTGTGAGAAGCTGGCTTGGCCTGTGTATGAAAGCAAGTAGTAACTGGGTAAAGCACTGTGCAAATGGGAGGTGCATGTGTTCCCCATGCACCCCACATATGTCTGAGGTGGGGGGGCCTCTTGAATGCACCTAAGATTGGTGCCTTTCCCCGTCCTTTTGAGCCCCATGACCTTGGGCAAGTCACTTCACCTCTTAGAGTTTCCATTTCCTCTTCAGCACAGTTGGGGTTACAGGGCCCACCTCACAGTCTCAAAGACAGCACTGAGCAGTAGAGATGTGGATGGTATTAGAAATCTAGCAGCACAAGGATCCCACCCCAACCGTTGTCACCTTATTCCATTGAATACTGAGGACCAGGCAGAGGAAATGACTTGTCCAATGTCAAGTTCTGAAGTTCCCTGGGTTCCAGTTCTACATGACTCCATATTACAAGTGCCCTTTGTTTGAAAGCATCATAGAAAAGATCCAAGTCTGCAGGACGTTGTATGCTTCAAATATGACTTTGCATTGTTCTCACACTCTCTCACTCCAGTATCCTGGAGATGCCAACACTTAAGCATCCATGTCACAAATGGACTCTCATGCCTGAAGGTGACATAGTAGTCCCTGGCCAGGCCAGCTGCCCTAGTCTGCAATTCAGCATTTGTAGTCAGTGTGTAGATACTCTGTAAATTACAATGTCTAGGTATTTTTTAAACAAATTATCATTTAAAAAAATAAATGAAAGCATAGCTATCTTGGAGAAACCTTCTTTTACTCAAAGACAGAAACCTATAATCAAAATCATGAGGCCACAAAAGGTCCCATTACCACTTGACGACAGTATGCCTCAGAGAAATATTGGCTCAGCTTTTTTAGGTTGAGGCAGACTGTTAAGGTTGGCTTTGAAAATGTTAACTCAAATTAATAGCAGTATTAATAATAGCAGCTAACACTTATATAGCCCATACTATATGTCATGAAGCTCTTTACATATGTTGATTTATTTAAACTTCATCATTTTTCTCCCCATTTTACAGATGAGGAAACTGAGGACAGAGAGGTTAAAGTAGTTTGCCTATGCTACTATGTGACAGAGCAAGAACTTGAACTCAGGCACCCTTGTTTTTGATACTGTGCTCTTAACTATTAAGATATAAACAATAGTTGCTTGTGTCAGGGTCTCAAACCACATGCAGCTCCCATACTAGGAACAGAGGACAGTGGTACCTGAGCTCTTGTCCAGGAAGTAGGCCAGAAGACATCTCATGACAGCTTGGTGGCAGATCACCAGTACATTTTCCTGTCGTTCTAGCTCCATTATAACTGGCTCCAGACGCTGGACCAAATCCTCATAGGACTGAAAGGGAAAGAAATATTTGGGTAAGAAGGGGAGATGGGGCACATTTGCCCAGAGAAGAACTCTAGACTAGGAATCAGGAAAACTTGGTTATGGTGCCAGTTCAATTGTTGATTCAGCAGTATGACCTTAGTCAACTCACTTCCTTCTTAAAAATCTTAATTTCTCATCTATTAAATGGGGAAAATCAATATAGTGGAGTAGATAGCAATAGCAATAATAATACTTTCCACTATAGAATCCCTAGAAAAGCTAGATAAAATAAATGTTCACACTGCTGACCTTTTAAGAAAATAAAGGCAATATTATGAATATAGGGTTCCAAACTGAAGAAAAGCTTGGGAAAAAAGATAGGTGGATATAGAAGCTACATCTCCCCTGGAGGCATTTGCCAATCACAGTACCTAAGAGACCTAAGTTTTTAAAACCTTGTTGAAACAGGAGGCAAGGCCTTACATATGCACAAGGTAGGGAGTTGGGGCTGAGACTTTCACATATATCTGAGACCTTCAAAGGACTACATCCTCAGTAAAAGTATAAACTAAAAAGTATATGTATCCATAGGCAAAGGGAAACAATAAGAAAATATATCTGTCTCTGTTTGACTCTTGGTAGAAAAAATTAGGAAAAACCTCTTGTAAGAATGTATAACCATAGGCTTATTCTCAGATGGATTTGTGGTTCAGAATTATACAACCCATGTGTTTTAGAAAATGCCAAGCTGAGAGTTTAATAAAAAGTGATTGCAAGTCATTGGCTCCCATGATTGTCTGGAAGAAGCAAATGGAAATTCTCCTCAAATCAGGCTGCATGAGATTCTCACAGATAAATTTTTGTCAAACTGAAGCTCACATAACATGCAAGGAAAATAAGCTATCCTGAGTGAAAATAGGCATAAACATTAAGGGGATAACCCTAAAAACTTAAGAACTTAAGATAAAGGATCTACAGTTTAAATAAATATGTCTGAGATTTTTAAATAAATAGAAGATTGAATTAAAAATGTAAGGAAGGAATAAGATGCTACTAAATATATGATGTAGATTTGAAAAAGAATTAAATAGAATTTCTAGAAGTAGAAGATATATTCATTAAAATGGAAAACTCGATGGAGTAAATAGCAGATTAGATACAATTTAAGAAACACTGATTTGGAAGATAAAGCTTAAGAAATTACTCAGAATTCAGATATTAAAAAGAGATAAAAAATAAGAAGATGGGAGACAAAAAGGATAGAGACAGGACTAACACACATATAATTGTATTTCTAGAGGGAGAGAATGGAATATAAGAGAGAAATAGCTGAAGATATAATGTCTCGGAGTTTTCTAAGATTGATGAAGAGTCCCAATCCTCAGATTCAGGAAATCCAATTAATCCCAAGCAAGATAAAAGAAAAGAAATTAATATATAGACATATAAGAGTGGAACTTAAAATCAATAGAGATACAAAGACCCTAAACTCAGCCAGAGAGAAAAAAAATAGCAATTGACTTACAGGAGAATTCTTAGCCACATTAGAATCTAGAAGAAAGTGGGAATAATATCTTCAAAGTGCTGAGAGAAAGTTGTCATCCCAGAGTTTTATACCTAGCCAAAGTATCATCTAGAATTGAGGACTATTCCTCCCCAAGACATTTTTAGATTAAAAAAAGTGAGTCTACTACCAACAGATCCTCCCAAAGAAATTTATAAAGGAAGATAGACATTGAACCCAGGAGGAAAACTTGAGATACAAAGAGAAAGAATAATCAAATGAATTGGCAACTATGTAGTTAAATCTAAATAAACACTGACTGTATATAATAATGTTTGCTAATAACAATAATAATTCATTTGGGAATTAAGACACAAGATTGAAGTAAAATACAAAACAACAATTAACATGTAAGTTAGGAGAGGGAGTGACCAGAGTTATAAATTTTTACATTGTTTTAGGAGGAGGGGAGATACTGATTTTTAGATTTTGTTAATCATGCATATTAGAATGTGAAGAGTAACCCTAAAAGAATGGAAAGAGATTGTATAATTCAAACATAGATGTCAAAACTCTATCAATTCTAAGGAAGGGAGGAAAAGAGAAAAAATAAACTCAATTAGAAAGCTCAAAATAAGAGAACAGAAATAAGTTCAAATAAATAGGTAACTACAAAAAAAGTAAGTGTACCAAACTTACCATTGGAAAGACATATATTTTCAGTTTGTATTAAAACCAACAAAAGCCAACTATACACTGTTTACAAGAGACAAAACAAAAATACACAGAGAAGTTGAAAGTAAATGAGCAATGATAAACTAGGCAAATACTGACCAGAAGATATCTTATATAGCTATCTTAATATCATATAAAATACACTTCTAGGCAAAAAGCATTACTAGGGGAAAAGAAGTTTGCTCACTGTGTAATAACAAAATATACAATTCACTAAGGAGAAATAATCGCTTTAAATTTGTATGCCTTTAATAACATGACCTCAAAATATATAAAGGAAAATGAGGGCAAACTCAGACTGACTTTATAACATCAATTCTGAGGATGAAAATACAAATGTGAAAGTGCTTTGTAACACAGGATATCTATGGTTTTCTCTTCTCTTATATCCTGCTTTTCTGATAATTGTTCCCAGGAATTTGTATCAGAAATGGAGTACTTTAAAAAATAATCTAATATGTGGAACTGGCTAAATGGAGGCTGGGATGAAAGCAATGAGGATTCACTTCATATGGGAATAGGAACTGATGGTTTGGTTCATGTGGTGGCAAAGAAGTTGGTTAAACCATTAGCCATTGTCCGTTGGGACTCCAACCTACTGTCCAGAGATGCTGGAGCTTTAGGCAACTTGGCAATAAAAGATAAGGAAATTAGAGTATGTTGAACTAATTCAAGTGCCTTTAGTGCAAAGATACCAAAGACAAAGTCTAGGATAAAGTGAAATCCCCTGAAAGAAGAGAGTAAATAAGCAGGCAAATATGTATCTTTTAAAAAAGATAAATCTGTTGCCTATAGCCAAGAATATTAGATAGCCAAGGGCCAGATAATTATGTGCCTTGTGGGATAGAAGCTGCTAGAAAATATGCTTTACCCTGTTTCTAAAGCTGTCTAGGAAACTATGGAATCCTGGCAGTTGGAATGGAGATACTGGGGAGGAGTCCCAGGAGTAAGGCCACCCCTCCAAACCTTACCTCACCCTTGGGATAACGGTAGCGATATTTATCTTGGTCTCGTAGTGCAAATTCTTCAGGGTAGTGTTCTTGGATTTCTTCATAGGTCATCTCCTCACAGACGCCCTGAAAAAAATTATTAAGGAACAAAACTATTCATAAGTTGAAATCTCCACAGCCTTCACCATAGTTCTGAGGCAATGATTGCAGAACATTAGCACACAAACACCTGGGTTTCTGTGAACACAGCCCTAGGTTTGTGCTTGTTGTCTGAGCATACGTGTGTGTGTGTGCACAAGGTATATAGCTGTGTAGATGTAAGACTAAGTGCATGCATACAGTTGTGTTCAGGCTTAGTGTATGGTGGATATCTATGGTGTTTCTCTATGATTGTCCCAATAGGTTTATAGGTGTACACTGTACATGTAAGTATGTGTTTTCATCAATCTGTGAGCTTAAGATTTGTGACTGTGTTTACCTGTGTGTGTGCAACATAGTTATGATGTATACTTGTGGTATGTTTAAGGTCCTGTTCTCTGTGTTTGCATATTTGTCACAGCATATGTAATATGTTTGTGCGTGAATGTGTCTCTCTGTGTGTATACAGGGTGTTTGATAACTGAGAATGTGCCTGTGTGGGAGTCTCTGTGGTCTGTCTCTCCATGTGGGTTTCAGTGTGTCTGTGCCATGTGGATCTGTGAGTGTGTATGTCCCTGATTACGTCTCTGGTGTATATGTGTACCTGTGTACCTAAGGTCTGTGTGAATTTGTGGTATTGTGACTGTACTGTTTACACGCCCATGGTATTCCTCTCTCTGTCTATATGATGTATATACAAAAACTGCATGTGTGTCTATGGTGAGTGTGTCCATATGTATCTCTAGGTGTGTCTGCTTGTAAGTGTTTATGTGTGGGCATGAATGGTGTGGATATGATTGGTAGATGTGTCTGAGAGGGAATCTGTGCTTGACTAGTGGGTCTGTGTGTCTGTGAAGTGTATATCTGTGAGTGTAAACATACTTGTGGTCAGTGTCTGTGATTGTGAATGCAAGTGCAAGTGTGTATGCACATCCACAGCAGTGCTTTCCTGTGTTACAACATTTCCCATCCCTCCTGCTCACACCTCTGCTCTAGGACCTCTGGTAAATAAAGAAACAGATATCCACAGACCTCTCAGAAGGCAAGAAATTCCTAATGGTCTCAGAGTGGGCCTTGGAGAGATACACTCTCCTCACCCAAAAAAGGAATCACAGGCTCAGAGAATGAGTTCCCACTGAGAAATCCCTGGAAGTGAAGTGGCTGCTGGTGGAGGTGTGAAGTCATGTTAGATTTATAGTTTCCTTCTGGTTGTGTGGATTCCAATTAGACCTTCCTGCAGAAGGGCAATAGGTGCTGGTTGTTGTCTTTTGATCCATCTGCCGGGCTTCTGTTAGGGTTTAGGTTCACCCTTGCCCGAACCTACAAGCAGATAGGCAGTTTCAAACTTCAACTGACATTGCCCGTGGGAGAAAGTGCACCCTGTAGATACACAAGATCTTTGCAGATTGGCTTCAACTTTCTGAGGAATGCCAGGAACTTGTTGCCTGTGGACGTGGTCACTAATTCACTATTGACTTAAGGCAAATTGCCTAACCTCACTGAATTTTATCTTCCTTATCTACAAAATGAGGATAATTATAACTACCACACAAAAGTGCTTTGAATATTAGATATAACATATGTAAAAGACACTAGTACAGAATGCACAAGGTACCTTTTAAAGACTCATTCAATGGAATATATTATTCTATTGATTAATATTATTTAGATTATATTCTATGTAAATATATAATCTATTTAGATTAATATATATAATTATTAATATATTATTGATCATAAAAAATAAACCAGAAACTTAAGACATCATTTTAAATTCTCCTTCTCCTTTACCCACCCTCTCATAGCTAATTCCTAAAATTCTGCCTCTTAAGTTTCTCTCAAATTTATTCCTTTTCCTTCCCTCTCCACCTCCACTGCTGCAACATTAGTAGTTCTATGCACTCACACATAATACCTTCTTTGCTTGTGCTGCTTTCTCTGCACGACATATAATTCCTGATCTATACCTGGCTCACTGTTACTCAACCCTCAGGCTTCAGCTAGGCATGACATCCTCCAGGCAGATTCTGACTGAGTCAGATGCCTTGCCCCAATATCTGTGCTCCCACAGTCTAGCCTATCAGAGTTTATATCACACCTGCTGTTTTGTATTCCTCTGTTTATTCCTGTATCTACCCTGTTTAGCCTGAAAACTCAGTGAAGACAAGAGCTAATCTGTCTGCAGCAACACTCCAGAGCCTGAAATTGAGTAGGTATCCAAAAAATGTTTACACCATACGTGGGCCAGAAACAAATATTAACTGAATTCTTATTATGAAGAGTTTATGTATTTGTCCACGTGTATTTTATAGCAAATATGTGTGATATGCACAATGCTGTATATTTCTTTTCTAAATATGTGTATCTCTATACATCTATAGTTAAGTATTATGTACACACACACATACTTCCCTGTATTTATCTAGAAGGCAAGCAAGCTAGCCTACCTGCATACAAGTTATCTACATCCATGGTGAAGCTTTTACCTTAGTCTCTAACAATCATAACCTCTGTGCTGGTACCTGATGTCAGTGTACCTACAGTGCAGGTGAGACATTGGAGAGGAAACACATTCTCAAAGAGCTAATGGAAAACCCTGACTGTGAAGAGAGACTGCCATGTCACAAGGGTCAGATAAAATATTCCCCAGTTTTTCTTCTTTATTCCATCTCTGATATCCATTTGGTCCATCTTTCCTACACTAATGAAGCCATCTCCATACTGGTATACATTCTCATTCTGATCTTCTTCCGACATAGTCATCACACATGACAAGAGTGATCTTTTTAAATAAAATGTGAATTATATTCAGGCCACTCCTCCTTGACTTAGACCACATCAATGGCTTCTCCTTTTTCATGTAGCATTGAAATCCCTCAACATGGACTATAAAGCTCTATAAGCTGCCCTCTCTTCCAGCCTCATCTCCCTTCTCTCCAGACTTCACAATCACTGTCCTAGACTCTCTGCTAGTCCTTGCTCAGTTCCTTGAACACACCATGTTCTCTTCTTACCTCTGGGCCTTCACATGAGCTGTTCCCTACCCTCAGAATTAAATTGATTCCCTCACTCCCAGCCCATTTTGCCTGCTTCTTGTCTCATCCCTAGCTTCCTCTGGAAAGCTTCTCTTCTGAATATCCCACCACCAAATCTTGTCAGGAGCACCCTCACCTTCTGAGATTCTGTAGTCCCTTATACTTTCCCTGTCACAAACTTTTGTCACATGAGATGCAACGCTTTATCTACTATCTGCCTTCAGGCTCCATGAGAGTAGAGACCTTGTTTGTTCTGGCTTTCACTGGATCCCCAAGACAAAGAAGTGTGTAGCACAAGAAATGTTTGTCAAATTAATTAGGTTCCCCATATGAGCCTGAGAAGAGTCAAATCCAGGAGATAATCCCAGAGTCAAGGCTCACCACCCACCAGGAAATCCAACTCCATCTCACCGCATCAATCTCATTCAGGGCCTTCCACTGCTCATAGGGGACGCCCAGGGCTTCTGCTGTCTGGATAGTCCTCTTCATGTGGCTTGTCCACACCTTCAGGGAACTGATGCCCTGGGACTGAATAAAGTTGGCCAGGGCATAGGCATACTGAAGAGTGAGGGTGCAGAGGAGATGAGGAGAGGAGAAAGAGAGAGATGAAGGAAGACAGAGTGGCCATGAGAAGATGCTCGATCTGCCACAAATGGTGGAATGATGATGAACAAGCAAGAGCAGAATTTAAATGTTTCCATTTTATAAAAAGTAATGCTCTTGCCTATGTGACTAAGGATCAAGGGAATAGAAAAGAATATGTGTATTTATGTGTGTATGTGTGCATATGTGTGTATGCTCATTGATGCTTGCTCACTGAATCTCTACTCAATTATTCATTCATTGAAATAGTCCACCTCTAACATTTGTGGAGCCTGGGACAAGAGTACAAATAGAGGTATTCCACTCATATTCCACCTTCCTTCTTTTCTCATTTCTGTTCTATCCTGCATTCCTAGGTGCCTTGAGTACATGTTCATGGATAATTCAGTCATAGGATCAAGTTCTATCCACACTACATCTCCACCATACCTATGATCCACAAACAGTGACCCCTTTGGCCACTCTCTTTGCCTAGGGGTAAACACATCCGTGACATGGCCTTCTCTCTGGTGAACAGACTGTGGGACAGACTCACGTAGGCACTGGAAGCAGATTCTGGGCCACAAAGGCAGGAAATCCTAGGGTTCTGGGTACTCTGAGTGTGGTCCAGAAGTGTAATGGGTGGGATTTGGGGGGTATTTTTTTGACCATGTGAATTCTCATTGCTTAAGCAGGGGTCCTGGGACTCAGGTTCTAAGGCAATTCAAATATTTACTGAGTGTGTGTGGCCATGTGCTGAGTACCAAGGTGTCCTGTTCTCAAGACACGGCCAGTCCAGTGAGGAAAATCGTGACAGCACCAAGAGGCACCACTAAGGGCTGTGGGAGCCCAGATGAGCAAGTGATTCCCTCTTCTGTGTATAGACA